TGAACAGGACGTCACGTACATTAATACGTATTTAATGACAAATTATCTAATTAACATGGTGAAATTAACATTGCTTGCAGAAAGACAGCAAAACCACCATAAGCGGACTTGCTTAGCCGGGGGTAAATCATGACGTCATGATTTTAGTACTGAAGTTTCAGGGTTGCCAGGATATAACAACAACAAAAAAAACAATTGCTACTAAAACTACCGCAGGAAACCCGCGGACTTGGCAACACTGCGAAGTTGCGCAGGCGCCCACGGATTCGGAATGATCCAGAATATTTAATCATCATAGTAATCTAGCCAGTAATCTTAAATCCTGATTTAGCTATACACATCGTGAATTATATATTCAGGCTAAAATAAAATGAAATAAAATGGGGAAAAGTAGGGGGGAAATCACTTACTTATTAGACAGTAACTTTTCTTCTCTTGACAGCATCTCCAAGAGCTGATCTTTACTCTTGCTGCCCAGATCACCCGCTTCCCCTTGGCGCGCCGTCCACGCCGACGACATGATCAAATCTGTGAAGAATAAGAAAACCAGTAAAAATCTCACACTGACACGTTCACTCTACACGTCCTCATGACTGGTGAGAGAGGACGTCAGATATTCACTTATTCCGCCATGAGTCAAAATAAGCATTGGCAATGAAGTAAGCGACGATAATACACTAGATAGTTCACATTCATTACAAAATAAAAGACCCAAAGTCAATCGGAGTTCTACATTTTGACATCCTCAACAAGTTTTTGTAAAATTACATTTAAGGTTAAAAAAGGATTCTGAATCAGAAAATTCTTACAATCAAATGTGAAGTTTGACGTCCGTATTTTATTGTTAAAACCGTCGTTTACATATGCTCAATGTTCATGAGAGACAAGGCGACCAAAAAGCAGAAGAAAGATATACTAATAGTTATGAAATCAATATTTTTATGAGAGAAAATTTTTATTCTTTTATACAGGTATATACAGATGGGTCTAAAGACCCAATCAAACAAAAAGTGGGCATAGGAGTGTACATTTCAAGATTTAAGACGAAAATAAGTTTAAGGTTAAGTGACAAATGTCCGTATATTCTACAGAATTAACTGCTATAATAGTAGGATTGCAGTGGATAGAACAGATTAAGTCAAATAGGACTCCGACTGTAATTTGCTCAGATTCTTCATCAGCTCTTAAAAGTATATTGTCGACAAAAACTGATAGAGAAGACCTGCTAGTAGAAATTTATACATTACTGTACAGACTGAAAATAGAGGGTATAATCGTATACTTTTGCTGGGTACCGGCACATATCGGGATAGTAGGGAATGAAACAGCGGATAAATTAGCAAAAGAAGCTTTAAAGAAAAACTTGGTGGATGTTAAGGTACCTCTGGGAAGGAATGAGATAAAATCAGTAATTAATAGGGAAACAATAAGAATATGGCAACAAAGATGGGAAAATAGCAGCACGGGTAGGTGGTATTATAATACTGTAAAATCAGTAGGGAAAAAAGAACAGTTTTATGGAAGACACCGAAAGGAAGAAGTAATGATTTCTAGATTAAGGATGGGTCACACAGGACTAAATTCAACACTTGCATTAATGGGGAAGCATGAAAATGGTATGTGTGATGAATGTGGTGTTTTTGAAACAGTAGAGCATGTGCTCTTTAAATGTAGTAAATATGAAGATCAGCGTAACAGTCTTTTTAGCAATATAAGGAACAGACCAGTGAGTGTCGTGGACCTTCTGGGAAAGGGTTTGAGGGATAATCAGATGTTTACGGTGGTTTTAACATTTTTGGAGCTTACAGGATTAGATCACATTATTTAGTGTTTGAGGATGAGGATCATGATGGTTCTGCCCATCTCGGAGGTTTGAGAACTGTCCGAAAGAACCGGTTCGCGGAAAAGAACCGGACTTCCCATCACTATTGAGGAGCACAGTGTGGAAGCTGAACACCAAGCGCCAGCGGAAGCTTGGGCTCTGATCCTCTGGGGTGGGTGGGGCATTACAAAAAATTTTTTTTTTTTCTTTCTTTTTTTTTCAACTCGGCATAAGCATTCAACCCCAATCACAATGAAGACGAAAACGTTCATTTTCTGGTTGTCATACTCTCATTAAGTTATACTTTTCATTTACTCAAGCAGAACATTAATGTCATTTTGTGCTTCAGCAAGGTATCTCTGGCTAAAACTAACTAACAGCGTTAAAGTTAGTGAGTCCATCCATGCTAAAGTACAAACCTAAATAGCGAACTGTTCTCACGTCATGTACCGTGCAGTGAAAGTCAAAAACACATAAACGAAGGTCTATATTAGAGTGCCTCTCCATATTAATCTGGTTAAATGTAAATTAATTTAATCTTACTCTGCAGTATATGAACAGTGTTGATCCGGGATGTTGTCATTGCGATCGTGACGACCCTAACATAATTCTCCCGTTTGCATTGTGATCTGTATTTTTACATATTTGTTTTAATATCTTTTATATATCCCTCCATGGCATATTTAAGTCCAACTTGAAGGTCCATCTGTGTCCCAAATTGATCAGAAACACTTTGGAAGAAGGTTTTCACTGGCAGCTGTCATTGTAAGAGAGTGAGCAACTCCGTTTGTTTGTCCGAGTGAGCAACAGTAACTAAGGGGGGCGGGGCTTACC